GGAATCCGACGGGATTGACTCGCGATTCGACCGCAATTCGACACTATTTCAATGGTCCAACCGCAGCTCAATCCGGTTTGATTAAGAATGTCGGTTTTCAGAGGAAACCAGGCCGAAGATGATGCCAGTTCTCGATCGAACCGGTCTGATCGGTCGGTCCAATCCACTTTTCTGAACACTGATTTTCAGCCCATTATTTCAATTAATAAAACCCAACAACACCTCAAACCCAAATCCTATATCCATCCAATTGTTCAATCCATAAAAATATATATTTGCCAACCTCCACCACATGCCTAACTCGGCCCAAATGTTTCCCAAATAAACAAAAGTAATAAAGCCCAACACCCTTTATTGAACTTAAACTCTACGCCTTCAAAATCTATCCATTTCTTTCATGAGGCTGGCAATCATTTGTATTCACAAGACAAGTGAGGGTAAAGGTATATGGACGTTGAAATGGAACATGGCACTCTCCAAAATAAAATGAATATTTAATCAAACCAATTATATTTTCACCAATTAAACGAGGTCAATTAAGCTTGCCCATCACCTACCGAATTTCCCCAATTTAACCTCCACCATTGTATTTCATACAACACTCCTAATCATCCATTCCATCATACCAGCCCCATCTATTGGCTGGATTTTTGTTCCCATCTCAATCAATCCAAAATCAAGTTCCTTATACAATATCCAAAATATACATACACATAAATAAATCACTAAGTTGCAAACATAAAATCTTTAACTCTACGAGAGTACCCGCCAATTAAGAATGCATTTTTCATCACCAAAACACACATCAAACGCTACAATAAGCTTCCAAGCATTACATACAATAGAAAATCAGTTTCTAGCAAGGAAGTTTTGGTAGATCCACTCACCTTTTAGAAGTTGAATCCTTGATCTGAAGAAGGATTGAAATCCTCTAATGGTGCCCTCACTTGCCTCCCGATATACAAAATCCAATAAATCCTCCATACATAAGTCCCCTTAAGGTAACACGTCAATATAAAAATCATTGGACACATCACACACCAAAAGATCAACCTAACTTCTTCTTTAACAAAACTGTCTCATAACCGATCATTGGTTGCTCTCGGATTTTTCATAAAAAATCTATTCATCAATTTAAGCCATAATTTTAATGGAGCATTCTAGATACACATAAGTTATTCCCATAATTTTCTCAAGCCATTCCAGAATCAATCACTATTTAAAACACAACTTTCTTTAAACTTATTCAAAATTGCCAACTGTTTCCAGAATTGAGGTTACTGACTTGTAAAATTCGTAACAATTTAACCTTTAATCAACACCTCACGAAACTCTCCAGAATTAAACTAGACACATATAGGATTCACCAAAATTTAAAATCACTCAGTTTGGATAAGAATAGATGCATCAAATCATTTTCCAAAAATACATGTTCTGCAGAAAATGAAAATTCCAGAATTGCTGGGCAAATTTCAAAAATCCATATAAAATTTAATACTATGAGTTTTTGAGTGAAATAAATTTCTAAACACTCTTCAAGAAATCTACAACATAATATCCAAAATTCAGCTTCAAACAGCAACCCAAAACATGTAAACAATTTTCGAAATTCCAAATTGTTAGATTTTTGTACAATAAACTCTTATATCAAAAATCATATCTTTAACCTATTTTTGTTTAAGAACAACATATATGTTTAACCACATAAAATTATTGAAATTAATCTCCCTATTTAGTTCAATCTCATGCCATCATACTCAATTATAACCAACACAAATCAAATGAGTTAAAACTCATCAAAGAGAGAAAGTTTTAAGCTTTACTCACCTCCCATATGCTTGATCTTTCCTCCACTCTTTCCGATCACCGAAGTTTTGCTCGTCGGCTGCCACCTCAATCTCTCTCTTCTCTCTTCTCCCTCTCTTCTTCTCCTTTCTCTTTTTTTATCTTTTCTTTCTCCCCTTTTTCTTCTCTCTTTTCTTTCTTCTTCGCCGTTTTTCTTTTCTTTGAAAAACTACTGTTCATCAAAATATGGCAAATTTTTTAGTCCCCACTTTTTTCCTTTCTCTTTTTTTATCTTTTCTTTCTCCCCTTTTTCTTCTCTCTTTTCTTTCTTCTTCGCCGTTTTTCTTTTCTTTGAAAAACTACTGTTCATCAAAATATGGCAAATTTTTTAGTCCCCACTTTTTTGTCGTTATTACTCCCTAAAAGCTTTCAAATTCTTACACTTTACCCCCAAAAACTTAAAATAAAATTCCGTAAAAATACGGGGTATTACATGTTTAATCTCCAAATATTTATCTACAAGACTCCACTCTCTTGGAAATTGTCTTGTTTCTGGTCAGTTTCCTCCATGCCCTCCCCCATATTCCAGAAAAACCTCGAAGACTCCACTCCACTTTTTAAAAAGTCTTTCTAGCGTAGTTTGGTTCTTTTTTCACAAAACATCCCTTCATTTTAATCCACTTTAAACTAGGAGGCCGATGGAAAGAAGGGCATTTTTTCTGGTTCTCTTCTACAATCCGACTTCATGTGCATACCCACATACCCTGGATAATATAATGTAAAGAGATTGAAGAACAGGACAGCAACTAGGAGCCAAGCCGAACCTTCAAACGCTTCAGATTGCAGAAGTGTGGGCAAATGATCCATGAAATTTATTGTATGTTGCAAACTCTGCAGCAACAAAAAAAGGATTATAAATAAATTCTGATAAAATTAATTCATCCCAAACAGATGATAATAAAGAAATTACTTCACCTTAATAGTTCGGTACTTTGTGGAGACCCTCAACTTTTCGAAAATTTCTAATTAATTTACGAACAGAGGGACCTCTCATTTCATTGTCTCACTTCCACATCGGATTCCAACTGTAGCTACATTCAAATTGGGGAAATTCTCTATTTCAACTGTATGTGCCTCTATTTCACAGCTGATTAAAATCCTCAACATATGGACTGTTCAACAGTTGTTTACAAAAGTTCTTGCCCATTTTTTTCCTATATAGACGCATGCTCTTCAGCTTTGGGAAACAAAAAAATTTAGGAAACCGGAGAAAACGTTGGAGAATCTTCAGCTTCACTAACGTTTTGAAAATGTAATTGTTATGCACGGGAAAATAAAGAGCTGACGTGGAAGGAGTCGCGTCAGGAGTAACCTGCCCCCGTCAGGACAATGTGCGCACGTCAGACCTGCGAATAAACATGGAGCTTACACGCGTCCGTCTCTCCGCAGCAAGTCATGCAAAGTCAGCTTGGAAAAAGGGAAAACGGGACGTGAAGATGGATGACGTGCTGACAATCACACCAACTCGTAGATTTAATGATGATTACACGCTTCCATTCGATATAAAATGTAGAAAACCTCACCATTAAGGGGGTTGATTCATTCATTACCCAGAGATAACTCTCTCTCTTGTAAAAAAGTAAGAACAAAGTTCTTTTATTAACTCTCTTGTACGTCAGTCCGCTTAGCGACCTGACCCACACCAACATCAATACAAAATCAGTGGACGTAGGATTTGCTACCTTAGCATCCGAACCACTTAAAAAGCCTCTTTTCATTTATTTCTGAAAAAGGCATCCATTGTCACGAGCATAAAATTCATAAAACAGTGTCACCCACGTGACAATTGGTTGGTGCGCAAATCGAGCATCAACAGAAGAAAATAGGATCTGGTTTCTCTGTAGAGAAAGGTATTTTCCTAGTTCTTGGTTCACATTTAAGAATCTTTGGACATGATCAACAAATGGAAGAGCTGTAATGCATGTATTTGTACTCTTTTAATTTATTTGGGATTATGGAAGTCAAGAATGCCACCTTCAGTGTAATACATCTTTCTCTCTCAAAATTACTAATTAAATCGCATAATTAATTATTTAATCAACTCAATTCGTTAGTGAAGTTAGTCAGTCAAACTTGTAAATTTGTAGTAATCTACATCATGGTTTTAAAATCCGGCTTGGCCCAGCAACCGGTTCAACCAGTTGAACCGGGAACCGGTGATCGAGCTGGGTCGGTTTGACTAAAAAATTGAAATTTTCAAATAATCCAGTTTGAACTGCGGGTGGACCGGATTTTTTGTTATGAATCACCGGTCCAATCGGTTCGACCCAACAGTTGAACTGTTTTTTTATTATTTTTTATATGTCATGTTGATGTCAGAATAACGTCATCACACTGACATCAATATGATGACATCACGATTCGACCTGGCGGTTGAATCGGTTCGACCGGCCAACCCGGTGACCTGATCGGGTCACTCCCCAGGTCAGGTTTTGAAACCTTGACCTGCATGCCACACGTTGTTGAATTAATCAAATTAATGGGAATACCATTAATTTTTCAACTCACTTTCCCCTTTAAAGTTTCCAAATGTCTTTGAGGCATGAAATTTATTAGAAGTTGTATTTGTCTTATATTCGTGCCAATTTAGTGGACTATGTATATGTGTAGTTAGGTTTCTTCCTCTTTTGAACTAGTTTTTGGGAGTGAATTCTACCCAAACCCGTTTATTATGATATCAAAGCCACTCTTGTTTGGTACGATGGTGAATCTTTGTAGGTTTAGACATCGAGAGCTGTTATGGTGTATACATATGATGAGTTCTACTCAATCCTGTTTATCAAAATTAATGAAATTATCAAGAACTATAATTTGATATTGTCTAATTCAGGTTTTGGATAAACATTTTCAGGGTAATACACATCTTAAGATTGATTAGTTGTATATGAAAACGTTATGTATTCCTATGTGAAAAAATCAAATCACTTCAAATTAAAAAAACTTGATATAAGACTAAGGGTTTCTACGATACTAGTATTGAATTAAGATTAGTGCCTAACGTTGAAAAATTTTGTGTGTTAGTTATCATAAAGTCAATATACAGATTCTTTTCCAAGTACAAATCCAAAAGTCCAAACAATGTTCTCACTATATCTACCTGAACTTCAGTCCTGAATCGAATTCAGAAACGTCTTATATATAAATTCAACCAACTTCGATAGAAACTTCGAAAATTCTTTCAAGACATTATGGCTTTCATTCTGAAGAAGATGAGGTGCAAGACTATTCGTCCTGATTGCGTCAAGCCCAGTATTATTCTTCCACGTTCTGTGAAGGTCAAGAAGATAGCTTCAGAGTCTGGGATGGATGTTTCCAGGCTACAGATTTCTCTCCAGAGGCTATCAGTCTCCGATTTTAGCAACTGCAGCTCGCTGATTTCACTAAATGATTTATCGAACTCTCTTGTTGGATCAAATCTGCATTTTTTTACCCTCCAGGAGCTGCAAGTGATGACCAATAATTTTTCCAGGGATGAGCTCCTTGGAAGAGGTGGGTTTGGAAAAGTGTATAAAGGTTTCATTGATGACAGACTTAAGCCTGGCTTGAAGGCTCAGCCTGTGGCTGTTAAGGTCTTGGATTTAAATGGCTCTCAAGGTCATGATGAATGGCTGGTAAGCCTATTCATATAGATTTTCTGATTACTTGCAGACATCCTGATTTTTTAAGGATCCGGACACAATTTAATTTGGCTTTGATTTATATTTCACAGGCCGAAGTGATCTTCCTGGGACAATTGAAGCATCCCCATCTTGTGAAATTGATCGGATGTTGCTGTGAAGATGAGCACAGGCTTCTGGTTTATGAATACATGCCACTTGGAAACTTGGAGAGCAAATTATTTGAAAGTATGTGAAGCCTTCTCTTCAACATTTTATTTTACAATAATATATATCAGCTAAAGTGATTAATATACGTGATTCTTTTCTGGAATAATGCAGATTATTATGCACCATTGCCATGGTTAACAAGAATAAAAATCGCAATAGGAACTGCTGAGTGTCTAGCTTTTCTCCATGGAGAAGCAAAACCAGTAATATGCAGAGATTTAAAGTCTTCAAACATCTTACTAGACAAGGTAATCTCTTCTCATTTTAATTCCTGGTCCTGATGATATTATTTCTTTCTCTGAACATTCTGATTTAATTTGTGTTTTTCTTTTCAGGATTATGTTGCTAAGCTCTCTGATTTCGGATTAGCTAAGGATGGTCCACAGGGAGATGATACACACATTTCAACCCGTGTCATGGGCACTGAAGGCTATGCAGCTCCGGAATACCTACAAACTGGTAATATATCTGTAAATATAGTCAATTATAAGCTGAACCGTGATCCTCAAACTTATCCGAATGTTCAGATAACGAGAGAATTTTGGTCTGTTTCATAATATGTATCTTTCAGTTTAATGCTAGATGTATAAGAATATGTCCTATTAGACAATGGATTTACTAACAGTAATGGGATTATACAGGTCACCTGACGACTATGTGCGATGTCTATAGCTTTGGCGTGGTGCTTTTGGAGCTACTAACTGGTAAGAAAATTGTTGACAGAAACCGGCCCAGAAAAGAGCGGTATCTGGTGGAATGGGCTAGGCCGATGCTCAAAGACTTCAATAAACTTGAGCAAATTTTGGACCCAAGACTTGAAGGCCAGTACTCAACAGAGGGAGTCAAAAGGGCTGCCAAATTGGCTTATCAATGCCTAAGGCGTGACTCCAAGGCTAGGCCCACAATGAGCAATGTGGTCAAGACTTTAGAGCCTCTCCTGGACATGAATGACATCCCAAGGGGACCCTTTGTTTTCATTGTTTCACCTGAAGGCAACACAAGTTTTGTGCTTAATAACAATGATGAAAAGGGTGAAGAAAAGGAGGAGAAGAAGGATGACAAAAGCAGCCATCGGTAACGAAAGGTTCAACAACAACGGCGTCGGACTAGGCCATCAAGGTCTAGAGCTGTATATTTTGATACTGCTTTGTATAAAGCCCTTGGAAGTAGACTGTACTCTCTCAAGAACTAGAGGCAATAGTGGGGCAAAATGAGGCATAGCTTTTAGCATTAAGATGATCAATTTTCTTTTGGCACTATTTCTAGAGTGATGTATTTGCAGAATAAGAAACCAATTAAGATAAAAAACTGTTCATACGAATCTTTGATTTATTTATAATCTTGATTTTAGTCATTAGTAGCTCATCAGATCTCTATACTTTATTCGAATCCAAAGGCTTATTCGATTTAACCAAAATAGCATGTTTTTGCAATCAAAAGGAAAGATTTAGCTGCATTAATATACATTTGTTTGATTCTGAGATACCTAACATGTAAACACATTGATATAACATAATCTGATTAATCGAACATACGTATAAATGAAGTAGAACAATATTTGTAGCTTTATGAATGATGGTTGCCAAGACTTTTGTTACCCTTCTTTGGAGACAAATCTGGTGTAGGTCTTTGAGACATCAATGTGTAAATCTTTTCGTTCTTTTTTGAGCTGAACATAGGCAGAGAGACTCACAACTTGTCATTTTTCTTTTGCTATTTATTTCTGTGTGGGTTGGCTGAAGCTGGCCTAATAAATCAACGAGTAAACGACTTTTTCCCACCCAAGATTTGCCTTAATGGCACTTTCTCACTCAAAAAGTTTCAAAATACTACTTTTCCACCCAATGTTTGTATTCCGTTAATACCCAAAATGCATCTCACTTTCTCAGCCGATATTCGGCGAGTTACAAGGAGTCAGGGTAAGAGTGTTTTTCTTAGAGTGAAGTTCGGTGGATCAAATGGTGGTGACTGATTGAATATTCGCAGTCAGAATCAGTCTAAAATCAGTTAAGAACAAAAAACCATAGCTTTGCGGTGTCCGATAATCGGCAAGACATCAGGAGTCGAAGTGAAAGAGATTTTGTAGAAAGGAGACCAGAGGTTCAAATGGTGACGAACAGAATTTTCATCGTTGGAATTTACTTTGGGTGGTAACAAAATATTAACTTTGGGTGGGAAAGTGGTATTTTGAAATTTTTTGGGTGGAAAAGTGTCCTTAAGGCAAACCTTGGGTGGGAAAAAGTCGTTTACTCTAAATCAAAAGTTATAAACAAACAATGCTTGCCCATTTGCTCTTTTGGCCAAATTGGTCCTGCTTGTATTTACTTTTGAGGGGGCGTTTGGTTCAGGGAATATTAGATTACTGAAATCTTATATTACCTTGAAGATTATTGGGAATCTTTAGGAAAATGTGTTTGGTTAGGTGGTGGGTATGTTATATTAATATGTTTGGTTAGGGGGAATAAATTGGTGGGTATGTTATTTAAATTACTAAATTATCCCCTTTTAAATATTAATATAATATTATTTTTATTATTAATTTTTGAATAATTTCTTTTAACCCCCAATATTTCAGATTTAGCTAAAACACCCCTGCTTATATAAAACTTTAATTTATGACAAAATCACCCCCACACTTGTCGCCTCCTGCCGCCACCGTAAACCATCGCCGGAAGTCTCCAAAAGTCGCCGTGAGTAGCTTACCGTGACCACGAGGCTCCGATATGGCCAGATTGGAAACGACGATATTGAAGCCTCCCGGAGCCTCCCATTGAATCTCGATCTTTTTTAGGGACTCCGATGACTTTCCGACGACAATCTGTGGTGGTTGGCCCACTATCGACAGTGGTGGCTGGGTGACAGTGGTGGTTTGTAATTTGTTTTAAATATAAGGGCATTATTGTCCAAAAATTTAATTAAACAAAGGTAAAATTGAAATGGTATATTAATGTAAACTTATTTTAAAATAAGGGCATTATTGTCCAAAATGTTTATTAATAAGAGATAGAATTATAACAAAAATAAGATTACCTTGATAATTTTACAATATCTAAGAAAATTGAGATAATCAAATTACCTTCAATATTACCAACAGTAACAACTATTGGTAATGCAAGATTATCGGAATCACATGATAATCAAGTAATATAATATGACATAACCCCAATAATCTTCTATTACCTCTAACCAAAGGCCCTAAATATTAAATGTGAAATGGACAATCAAATCTCTAACCATTAATTAATTTTATCACCCCAATTAATCTTTGTCTTCATCTTTAATCTTCATATTTTCAAAAACCCATCATAATAATTCTTTCAAATTAAAATTTGGAGGCTCAGTGGGTTTTCTGTAGCTGCTTTTTCATCTCCATTAATCTCCATTCAAGTTCAACCTTGTGACAATAAGACCAAGAATGACTTATGGAAAGCTATAAAAAATAAACAGGTGGGTAACTAATTATTGGTAGTATATAAATTTATTTTTGAAGACAGAAAATAGGATCTGGTTTCTCGTAGAGAAAGGTATTTCTCTAGTTCTTGGTTCACATTAAGAATCTTTTGACATGATCAACAAATGGAAGAGCTGTAATGCGCATATTTGTGCTCTTTCCATTTTTAATCCTAATTTATTTTGGATTATGGAAGTCAAAGATGCCCTATCATGTATAAAGATCTTTCTCTCTAAAATTACTATTAAATCGGAAAATTAATTATTTAAACAAACTCAATTCGTCGTGAGTCAGTCAGTCATCAAACTTGTAAATTTGTAGTAATCTACATCATGGTTTTAAAACCTGGCCTGGCCAGCCGGTTCACTGGAAACGATGATCGAGCGGGGTCAGTCATCGCTAAAAAACTGAAATTTTCAAATAATCTAATTTGAACCGCGTGTGGACTGGATTTTTTTATGTTATGCACGGCCGGGGGCCAACGATTGAACTGTTTTTTTTTTATTTTATATGGCATTTTGATGTCAGAATGATGTCATCACGCTGACATTAGTATGATGACATCACGTTCGACTCAGCGATTGAACCGGTTCGACAGGCCGACCCAATGACCCTGATTATGGTCACTCCCAGGTAGGGTTTTAAAACCTTGATCTGCATGCACACGTTGTTGAATTAATCAAATTATGACAATGCCATTAATTTTTCAACTCACTTTCCCCTTCAAGTTTACAAATGTCTTCAGGACATGAAAGTTAGAAGTTGTATTGTTTGTTTGTATTCATGCCAATTTCGTGGACTGTGTATTAAGATGATGAGTTTATTCCTCCTTTGAACTAGTTTTGGGAATAAATTCTACCAAAACCCGTTTATTATGATATCAAAGCCACTCTTGTTGTTGGTACGATGGTGAATCTTTGTAGGTTTGGACGTCAAGAGCTGTTATAGCGTTATACATGTGATGAGTTATACTCGATCTAGTTTATCAAAATTAATGAAATTATCAAGAACTATAATTTGATTGTCTCATTCGTTTGGGTAAACATTTTCACGGTAATACACCTCTTAAGATTTGATTGTTGTATATGAAAACGTTATGCATTCCTATGTGAAAAAAATACAAATCACTTCAAATTAAAAAAAAAACTTGATTATAGACTAAGGGTTTCTACGATACTAGGATGAATTAAGATTAGTGCCTAACGTTGAAAAATTTTGTGTGTTAGTTATCAAAGTCAATATACAGATTCTGCTCCAAGTACACATCCAAAAAGTCCAAATAATGTTCTCACTATATACCTAACTTCAGTCCTGACTCGAATTCAGAAACGTCTTATTTATAAATTCAACCAACTTCGATAGAAACTTCGAAATTCTTTCAAGACATTAGGCTTTCATTCTGAAGAAGATGAGGTGCAAAAAACTATTCGTCTGATTGCGTCGCGACAGACCAGTATTATTCTTCCACGTTCTGTGAAGGTCAAGAAGATAGCTTCAGAGTCTCAGATGGATGTTTCAGGCTGCAGATTTCTCTCAGAGGCTACTCGTCTCCGATTTTAGCAACTGCAGCTCGCTGATTCACTAAATGATTTATCGAGCTCTCTTGTTGGATCAAATCTGCATTTTTTTACCCTCCAGGAGCTGGAAGTGATGACCAATAATTTTTCCAGGGATGAGTTCCTTGGAAAGAGTGGGTTTGGAAAAGTGTATAAAGGTTTCATTGTGACAGTCTTAAGCTGGCTTGAAGGCTCAGCCTGTGGCTGTTAAGGTCTTGGATTTAAATGGCTTCAAGGTCATGATGAATGGCTGGTAAGCTATATTCATAATCTATTCATATAGATTTTCGATTACTTGCAGACATCCTGATTTTTTAAGGATCCGGACACAATTTAATTTGGCTTTGATTATATTTCACAGGCCGGAAGTGATCTTCCTGGGACAATTGAAGCATCCCATCTTGTGAAATTGATCGGATGTTGCTGTGAAGATGAGCACAGGCTTCTGGTTTATGAATACATGCACTTGGAAACTTGGAGAGCAAATTATTTGAAAGTATGTGAAGCCTTCTCTTCAACATTTTATCTTACAATAATATATATCATCTAAAAGTATTAATATACATGATTCTTTCTGGATAATGCAGATTATTATGCACCATTGCCATGGTAACGAAGAATAAAACTTAATAGGAACTGCTGAGTGTCTAGCTTTCTCCATGGAGAAGCAAAACCAGTAATATGCAGAGATTAAAGTCTTCAAACAATTATAGACAAGGTAACTCTCTTCTTATTTTAATTCCTGTCCTGATGTATTATTCATTCTCTGAACTTCTAATTAATTTATGTTGTTTTCTTTTCAGGATTATGTTGCTAAGCTCTCTGATTCGGATTAGCTAAGGATGGTCCACAGGGAGATGATACACACATTTCAACCCGTGTCATGGGCACTGAAGGCTATGCAGCTCCGGAATACCTACAAACGGTAATATATCTGTAAATATAGTCAATTAAAGCTGAACCGTGATCCTCAAACTTATCCGAATGTTCAGATAACGAGAGAATTTTGGTGTTTCATAATATGTATCTTCGTTTAATGCTAGATGTATAAGAATTGTCCTATTAGACAATGGATTTACTAACAGTAATGGGATTTACAGGTCACTGACGACTATGTGCGAAGTCTAAGCTTTGGCGTGGTGGCTTTGGAGCGCTACAACTGGTAAGAAAATTGTTGACAGAAACCGGCCCAGAAAAAAGCGGTATCTGGTGGAATGGGCTAGGCCGATGCTCAAAGACTTCAATAAACTTGAGCAAATTTTGGACCCAAGACTTGAAG